CTTGTGATCTCTATCAAATAAATAAATAAAATCTTTTTTTTTTTAAAGGACATTATTGATACACTGCCTATGACAACTATAATCAAAAAGTCAAATAACAAAGTGTTGGTAAGGATGTGGATAAACTGGAACATTCAGACTCCGCTGGTAGGAATGGAAGAAAATGTCCTGGTTCTTAGTAAATATTCAGTTGAAAGGGTATCAAAACTACAACTAGTATCAGATAGTTTAGAAAAGGGATGCCTGGGTGGTTTGATCGGTTATATGTCTGCCTTTGGCTCAGGTCATGATCCCAAGCGTGCTGGGATCGAGTTCCACATGGGCCTTCTTGCTTAGTGGGCAGCCTGCTTCTCCCTCAGCCAGCCGCTCCCCCTGCTTGTGCGCTCGCTCTCTCTCCCGCTCTCTCCCTGACAAATAAATGAAATCTTTAAAAATATATATAAAATAGGGCGCCTGGGTGGCTCAGTGGGTTGAGCCGCTGCCTTCGGCTCAGGTCATGATCTCAGGGTCCTGGGATCAAGTCCCGCATCGGGCTCTCTGCTCTGCAGGGAGCCTGCTTCCCTATCTCTCTCTCTCTGCCTGCCTCTCCGTCTACTTGTGATCTCTCTCTGTCAAATAAATAAATAAAATCTTTTAAAAAAATATATATATATATATAAAATAGTTTAGAAAAAATATAGAGATTAAAAAGAAATAGAGGCAGAGACAGAGACTAAGACTAATACAGAGACTAAGCATTTTTTTGCCAATCTAATAAGTGAAAAATGCGATCTCATTGCCTTATTTTGCATCTCTTTAATTACAGGGAGACCATTTAAAATGCCCAGAGACCATAATCTGGAGTGACCACAAAGGCTAAAACATTTGACAGATACCCCCACCCTCTACAAAGCTCCAGTGATAAAAATATGAAACACCACATCTAGTAGATGTGGAATGGTATCTAATTGTCGTTCTAATTTTTTTAAAGATCTTATTTATTTATTTATTTGACAGAGAGAGACAGACAGACAGCACAAGCAGGGGGAGTGGGAGAGGGAGAAGCAAGCTCCCTGATGCGGGGCTCCATCCCAGGACCCCGGGGATTCTGACTTGAGCTGAAGGCAGACACTTAACCAACTGAGCCACCCAGGCGGCCCCACCTTAACATTTAAAAAAAATTTTTTTTTTATTTATTTGCCAGAGAGAGAGAGAGAGAGAGAGAGAGAGCGCACAAGCAGGCTCCCTGGGGAGCAAGGAGCCCAATGGGGGACTTGATCCAGCACCCCGGGATCATGACCTGCACCAAAGGCAGCAGCTTAACGACTGAGCCACCCAGGAATCCCTGTTAACATTTTTTAAAGAGATGAAGCATCCATTTCTCTTCAACTGCCATTGAGATTTCCAAGGAAAGAACAGGTAATCCCACTCTTTTGTTTGAAGCCCAGTGTGTTTCATCAATCTGATTAGACCCTGTTTTCCTTAAATTATTCGGGTCACGGTGGGATCCAGCTTGACCTGGGGTTCCTTCTCTCTTCAACTTCTGCTAAACTTGCAGTAAGCGCCCAGAAAATGCCCCCTTTGTCATTATAAACCCCTCATCAGCCTAGGGACAGAGTGGAGAGTCCAGACACTGCAGGGTTAGGGAGGTATACACCAGGTGCTGCCTAACTCCTCCATGTTGGTGCAGATGGAACCCAAAAGAAATCATTGTTGGGGGCACCATAAGCGCTTTTTAAACATACTCCCGGATTGATGCTCTGTACTAGCCTCCTAGTGCACAGGGAACCCTCACTATTAGTTGCTGGGGTCACCCTCAGGGCAGGAGTGAGTCCAGTAGGGAGTTATGCGGGCATATCAGTCTCAACGACAAGCCAAGTGCTCACGAGGAATCCCTAGGGGAAGCACAGGCGCCTAATTCGTGCTCCTAGGTGACACAGTAATTATGCTTCCGACCCGTCTCTGCGGGTGGGTAGGGCTGGAGATTCCTTTAGTTCCCTCACCGGTTGGGGAAGGAGTGATCTCGATTTATTCTCCCATCTGTGAAACGGGGGTAGAGGGGGGACAATAGTGGCCAGAAGACTTGCGCGGGTGGGCAGTTGGGCCGGGTCTCGGGAGCGGGCTTGCCTTCTCCCTCCCCCATCCCTCCGCGTCTCAGCTTCTTGAAGGATTAGGAATTTGACGATTGGAAAGTTTGTTTCCGGGCCGCCAGAAGACCTCCCGACGCGAACCTTCAAGGGGCTGGAACAGCCCCAAGAGGCCGGATAGGTGCGGGCGCGAACGTTCCGCGCGCCGACGTCCTCCCGCGCCCCGCTCCTCTCAACCTCCCGCTCCTCCTTCCCTCGCTCCTCCGGCTCCCCTCCTCCTCCGTCCCCGCCCCTCTCCTGCCCTCTCATTGGCCGAGCTGGCCGGCCGGGCCTCCCCGGGATTTAAAGGGCCCGCTCTCCGCGCCGCCCAGGGAGCCGCAGCTGGTCCCGGCCTTGCGGCCTGCGGGGGAGGCTGCCCGGAGGAGGCGGCGACGGTGGCGGTGGCGGTGCGTCCCCGGCCCCCAGGACCGCAGCTTCCTTCCTGCCAGGTAAGTCGCCAGCAGTGCGCGTGCGGCTGCCCTGCTCCCATCCTGAGCCGGCCTCTCCGCGCGGGTCTGCAGCGCGTGTCCTGGGGCCCCCTCTCCATCACCTTTCCCACTGCTCCAATTGCTACATCCCTGACTGCCAACTTCACCTCCCTGCAGCTCCCGGGCCTGGGCAGAGCTTTGTTGGCGGCTACAAGAGGCCAGGTGGGGGTGAGATGGGGCGCGCGGGGGATACAGGACACCCCCCACATCCATAGAAGAAGAGATGCACACGGCCCCCAAGTGTCACAGGATCTCCCTCTTTGCCCTCCACACAGAGTGACTCTACCTTGGAACCCCGGGGGGCCCCCCATTTGATATGTGGGCCTAGAATATACACCATTCAATTACATCGGACCTGGACTGTTCACAGCATACAAGAGACACGGGTCCTTCATTCACTACAGGTCATGGGCTGTGTGTGTTCACCCTGGACGCCCATTCACACACACACAGTTGGTGGCTCTGTCGGATGTACCTGACATTCACACCCTCCCCCAGCCCCCCAGGACCATGTCTCCAGATGGACAGCCCCAAACTGAAATCTGAGTGTTCAAGTTCATCCCTTGAGCATGGTCTGCCCCATGGACATCCTGGCTCCCTGTGTGTCCCCACTTTGACAGGTCTATCCATCTGTCCATCCATCCGTGGGGGTTCGCAATGGCCACCTTCAGCCGCCAGGAATTTTTCCAGCAACTGCTGCAGGGCTGTCTCCTGCCTACTGCCCAGCAGGGCCTTGATCAGATCTGGCTGCTCCTTGCCATCTGCCTCGCCTGCCGGCTCCTCTGGAAGCTTGGTAAGTGCTTGCCGCACCAGGTGCCACCACCGAGGCCATATCACACATACCACATTTATCCATCCCAAGCCACATTTTAACCCGCTACATCTTGCCATGCCGAGCCGGACGCCAACGTGTCTAGCCCACCACATGCCAGCAGCCCAAGTGCCATTCCAGTACACCACGTCCCGCTATGCCCAGCCACTCCATGCCGCACCACACCAAGCCACATCCTGCCATGACAAGCCACATCCTTTGGTATGCCTGGGTTTCTGGGATTCTAGAAAGCTGAGCTTCTTGGATCTTGGGATCCTGAAATGTCTCCATCCCAAGGTTACAAGCTTCTGGGATGCCGATGTCAGCTATGGAATCCCTAAGTACCACGTTACAGAGTTTGGGCATTCTGACAAATAGAAATTCTCACAGTGTAGCCTTCCAAAATGCTGGCATTCTGGATTTTGAGAGTGCGGGCATGATGAGATTTCTGGATTGTGGGATTCTGGAATTCTTCCACAATCGTGGCAAGCCTGTATCCAAATGATACAATTCCAAGTTCCCAACTTTCTTATAGGATGCTGAGAATTTTGGAAATCTGAGATTCAAAGCTTCTACACTTTCTTTTCCTTTTCTTTTCTTTAATGTTTATTTGTTGATTTTTTTTTTTGTAATCTACATCCAACATGGGGCTTGAACTCATGACCCGAGATCAAGAGTTGCACTCTCCACCAACTGAGCCAGCCAGGTGCCCCCTTCTTTTCTTTTGTTTTAAATGGAAGTCCCCCCCCAAGGTTCATCATTTTGAAATATTTCAAACTTACCAAAAAGTTAAGCTGAAAGGATAATGTTCTGAACACCTATATATGCATTATCAGATTCTCCAACTGTCAACATCTTTTTTTAAAGATTTTATTTATTTATTTGACGGACAGAGATCTCAAGTAGGCAGAGAGGCAGGTAGAGAGAGAGAGGAGGGAAAGCAGGCTCCCTGCTGAGCAGAGAGCCCTGATGCGGGGCTCGATGTGGGGCTCGATGTGGGGCTTGATGCGGGTCTTGATGTGGGGCTCGATCCCAGGACCCTGGGATCATGACCTGAGCCAAAGGCAGAGGCTTAACCCACTGAGCCACCCAGGCGCCCCCCCAACTGTCAACACCTTAACACGTTAGCTCTATCTATCTACCTATCTATCATCTTCCTGAATCCTGTGCAGAATGTGCTGACACTTCACCCCAAACCCTTCAGTGTGTGCCTCCCCAAGAACAAGGACATCTTCCCCCAACAAGCACGCCCTCCCCCCTCCCCCCTCAAGAAATGTAATCTGGGTGCGATAATAATTATCCAACATAAGTCAATATTCATATTTCACCCAGGGATCCCAAAAATGTCCTTTACAGATGTTTCTTCTCGGCTCCCCTCTCAAGCTCACCCGCTTCGGCCCCCTCCCCCCTCCCCACCCCTGCAATCTCACCACATTGCCACCTCTTATTCTGCCTTCTGCCCGGTGGCCCTCCCTTCCTCCCGTCCCAGCCAACTTCCCGTTCTTGTTCTCTTTGTCTCTCCCCCCTCCACCCGAAGGGTTGCCGTCCTACCTGAAGCATGCGAGCACTGTGGCAGGGGGGTTCTTCAGCCTCTACCACTTCTTCCAGCTGCACATGGTTTGGGTCGTGCTGCTCAGCCTCTTGTGCTACCTCGTGCTGTTCCTCTGCCGACATTCCTCCCATCGCGGCGTCTTCCTCTCGGTCACCATCCTCATCTACCTGCTCATGGGGTATGGGTGCGAGTCCTCCTCCCCGCGTTGTGGGCCAAAGGGCGGGGGGGGGAGGCGATGGGCCCAGGCCACTCCTCGTGAGGCTGTCCAGGACGAGGAGGGCATAGGGGATTCCCAGAGTTGGGGGGGCGCGGGAGTCTGGGAGACTGGTTCTTTCTGAAGGCTGTACCGGACAGGCTGGGCTTGGGCTCCCCCTGGAGGAGGGAGTCCTGAGTCCTGGAGAATTATTCCTCCAGGAGATTGTGCAGGATGGGGATGTGCGGGGAGGGGGTCTGTAACCGTCTCTGCGCCTGGGTTTCCCCCACTTTGTGGTCTCTGAGACCATGGGAGTCATGGAGCCAAGACCACCTTTTTTCCGTAGTGAGATGCACATGGTGGACACCGTGACATGGCACAAGATGCGAGGTAGGTGGTCCTGGCCCTCTCACCTGCCCCCTCCCGCCCCTGTCTTCCTGCCCTGCCCCACGGCTCCTAACTCCCCCAACCCTGTCTGTCCTTCCCTGCTTTTCTCCCTCATCTGCCCGCCCTGGTGGACACGCGGGCCTCAGATTCCCCTCACATCTGTGTCTCTCTCTCCCATGCCTTCCCCTCCACCACCACGCTCCCCCCACCGCCGCGCCATCTGTCTATCCTATCTCATGTGCGCAAGCGCCTGACACTTGACTCAAGGTGTCTGCTGGTCCTGGGCCCCCTCTGCTCACCTGCCTGTCTGACACCCTGCCCACCTGTCCACACCTGACCTCCTCATCTCCCACCACCTCTCACCTGGTGCTCCCCATTCCCCCACGCGGACCTGCTCTTTGCCTGTCCACTTGACCATGGGCGCCACACATAGGGGCCCAGATGATCGTGGCCATGAAGGCGGTGTCTCTGGGCTTCGACCTGGACCGGGGCGAGGTGGGTGCAGTACCCTCGCCCATGGAGTTCATGGGCTACCTCTACTTCGTGGGCACCATCGTCTTTGGGCCCTGGATATCCTTCCACAGCTACCTACAGGCTGTCCAAGGCCGCCCGCTGGTGAGGTCCTGGGTGGACAGGTGGGCAGGGACTGTGGGAGCCATGGTGGGGCAGTGTTCATGGATCCTTGATCCCCACAGAGCCGCCGATGGCTGCAGAAGGTGGCCCGGAGCCTGGCGTTGGCCCTCCTGTGCCTTGTGCTGTCCACCTGTGTGGGCCCCTACCTCTTCCCATACTTCATCCCCCTTGATGGTGACCGCCTCCTTCGCAAGTGAGCACAGCCTTCGAGGCCTCTGCCCAACAGGGAGGGGGTTGGGGAGGGACCTGGGGTCTCCCCAGCTCTGAGCCTGTCTCTTAATTCTTCTGTCTGTCTTCTGTTACTACAGCAAGAAACGCAAAGCCAGGTAAATGAGGGCAGGTGCTAAGGGCAAGTGGGGCTGACTAGGGGTTGGGGTGGGGGGGCGCAGTCTGTGGCTGGTTTGTTCTGTAAGTCCAAGACTGTTGGACCATCTATCCCATGACTAGACAGAGGCTGAGTGTCTATGGCTGTTGTTCGACCACAGTTAGCTCTGCAACTCCATGTGACTGACACTCCAACTGTGGCTGGCTGTCCATCTAGTTTACGGCTAGGAACAAATTATGGGACGACAATGGGGATTGACAAGTATATATTGGTGGGTGACTCCGACCTGCCTGTGACACTGGTGTATGTGGGTCGTTCACCTGTCAGCTACTCACCCTCTGTGTGGGACTGGTGTTCCAGCTGTCTCGCTGTGCCTTTGTCCGTGATGGGATGTGTGCCTGTCACTGGAAAAGATAAAGCTGGGTCGTCTGTGACTCTGGCTGGGAATGGGTCTGACCATGCGCAGCCTGTTGTGTGCCTGTCTGTGACAGATTCTGCCTGTGAGTCTGCCTTGTCTGGCCGCCTGGTGTTGTCTGGCTGTGGGCTCATGACCGACCATGTGTCCATGCCTATCTGTGGGACTGACCATCCACCTTCTAGTGTGACTGTAGGATTTCATCCAGCTGTTTGACTGTATGACCCAGTGCCCCCACTCACTGGCCATGTCTGATGGTGTCTGATGCTGAATGAGGCTCCCAAAGGGTGGAGAGATTTAACGAGTGTCACCCAGATAAGCCTCTGGGCATTATTCCCAGGCCCGATTCCAGAACCTACACTTTCTCCGGGCCGCGGTCTTTTTTTCACCATGTCTGACTGTACAGCTGACAGGATGACTGGGTTGAGCATAGTATTGCCTACGTGTGCAAAGCAGGGTGCCTGGTGGTGTCTGTGCCTAAGTAAAGGACTCTGGTGTATCTTACCGTCACTGGGTCAGACTGGAGGGCTGTGAGGCTGGGAGTCTGGTAGCATTTGTGTCTGGCCTCGTGGCTGTGTCGCTGTGTGGCGCGGTGAGGTCAGGCCTCTGACAGTGGCTGGGTCTGGATGTCTGGCCATGTGAGGCTGTAGGACCAGGTCATACCGTAGGGCCGCTCACACTTCTACTTGAGGCGTGTGAAACTGACAGCGTATGCGTGCATGTGACTATCTTTTGCTGCCATGTTTCTGTCTTGTCTTGTCTACAAACAACTCCGGCCAGCCTCCAGGTCCTCTCTGACTCTCTTTCCTTTCTTCTCTGCTGCCTTCCTGACCCCTGGGGGCCCTAGGGGCACCATGGTAAGGTGAGTCTGCAGAGTGGGGCTGGGGACCTGACATGTGGTGGGGTGTCAAGCCAGGCCTGGGAGTGATCCCTCTCTCCCCGCAACCACTTTCTCCCCAGGTGGCTGCGAGCCTACGAGAGTGCTGTCTCCTTCCACTTCAGCAACTATTTTGTGGGCTTTCTGTCCGAGGCCACGGCCACGTTGGCAGGGGCCGGCTTCACCGAGGAGAAGGATCACCTGGAATGGTGGGGAGGGCTGGGGGCCCCCCCTCTCCCTTAGGGTGCTGCCTAGAGGAGCTGCAGGGAGGTGGGAGGGAGTCCCAGGGGAGGGAACAGCCAAGATAAAAGTATGGAGGTTAGATGGATGGCTTGAGACCCCAGATGAATTCGCAGGTCTCTTTTGCCTACAGGGACCTGACTGTATCCAAGCCACTGAATGTGGAGCTGCCCCGGTCCATGGTGGAAGTTGTCACGAGCTGGAACCTGCCCATGTCTTATTGGCTAAATAACTGTGAGTCACCAAGTCACCGCTCCAAGAGAGTTGGGAGCCCTCAACCCAGGCCCTTCCCCATTCATGTAACGTTTACTGAGAACCTATTGTATACTAGGCACTGAAGATACTGCAGGAACCAGGGGGGAAAAAAGTCCCTGGCCCCTGTGGAGCTGACATTTTTGTGGGGAGAGCAGACAGTAAGAGAAAAAAAAATACGTAATAGTGCAAGTGGTGACAGGTGCTATGGTAAAAAAAAAAATGAAGCAGGTAAAGATGATCTGGGAGTGTTGGCAGGAGTGAGGGCGGGGGGAGTGTTGCAATTTTAAATAAATTAGCCAGAGCAAGTCCCACTGAGGAGGTGACATTTGAGCAAAGACCTGAGCAAGATGAAAGAACGAGCAATACCAATGTGTGGGGGAAGAGGGTAAACAGATGGAGGGAACAGCCGGTGCAAAGGCCCTGAGGCAGCATACTGTGCAAGTATCTGAGGAACAGGGAGGAGACCGGTGCTGGGAGAGCAGAGTGAGTGAGGACCAGCAGCAGGAGGTGAGGGCAGAGAGGTGACAGGGGGCTGGAGGGCTTCACTGGCCACAGGGAGGACTGGGGCTTTTTCTCTGAGAAGTGGCACCACAGCAGGGGTGTGAGCAGAAGAGGGCTGAGGGCTGATTTGGGTTGTAACAGGCCCCTCCAGCTGCTGTGAGAGCAGACAAGGTGGAAGCAGGGAGGAGGTCACGGCAATAGTCCAAGCAAGCTGTGGAGGTGATGGCAGTGGGTGTGAAGAGAGGGCGGATTCTGGATACATTCTGGAGATGGAACTGACAGGATTTGCAGAGAGTTGGTTGTGGAAATGGGAGAAAGGGTAGAAGAGGGCAGAGCGAGGGTGATTTTAGGTTTTTGCTCTGAGGAGCTGGAAGAGTAGAGTTGACCTTGGCTGAACTTGGGGGTGCTATGGGAGGAGCAGCTTGGGAGGGAAGATCAGGAGCTAAATTTCAGACATGGGACATTTGGGACCATTATAAAAATTTTATCCTGGGGGCTCCAGTAGGTTGTGGGTTCCTCGCTTTGCCCTCTGGCCCCCTGGGGAGGGCAGAGGGGATCCCAGGAGACTCTTGACTTGACTTGCATCTCCCCCTTCCAGATGTTTTCAAGAATGCTCTCCGCCTGGGGACCTTCTCAGCCGTGCTGGTTACCTATGCAGCCAGTGCCCTCCTGCACGTGAGCAGGGCAGAGCGGGATGTGGGTGGGGTGAACTGGGGGGGGGGGCGGGGCCTCTCCTTACTCACCTCCTTGCCCCCTGGGCCCTCCAGGGCTTCAGCTTCCATTTGGCTGCGGTGCTGCTGTCCCTGGCGTTTATCACTTACGTGGAACACGGTGAGCGCTGAGCCCAGCCCAGCAGATGGGATAGGAGGTGGGGGCGGGGCTAGAACCACTGTCCCCTGAGGCTAACCTGACCCCCTTACCTCCTGGCATCCACCCCAGTCCTCCGGAAGCGCCTGGCTCGGATCCTCAGTGCCTGCGTCTTGTCGAAACGGTGCCCACCAAACTGTTCACACCGGCATCGCTTGGTGAGGGTTCAGCCCGGGGAACCTCATGCCCAACACTTCCCCTCAAGAACGTTACTTCCGTCTCCATCTTCTGTCCGTCTCAGGGTGTCCAGCTTCCTCTCCTGGTGCCTGAGCCATCCCCATAACCCTGGCATCCATTTCTCTCACAAACATTATCAAGCCTCTGCTGTATACACACCTGGCATCTGTTCCCCCCCTCGCCCCGTGAATATTTATTGAGCACCTGCTGGTATCAGGCACTGTTCTAGGCCCTGGGGACACAGTGGTGAACAAAAGAGACTAAAGTCCCAGCCGTATGGGACAAGCCTTTTAACAGATAAGACAGTAAATTTTTTAAAAAGTCACGAAAGTATAATAGTTTCTTAGATTGGGATTAATGCCAAGGAGAAAAGACGTGAGGGAAAGGGGAAGGGAAGTATGGGGCGGGGGTGTGAATGGTTTCAATTTTAAATAGGAAAGTGACTTTTGAGTTCTTGAACTGGAGGAGATGAGGAAGAGAGGCATTCCAGGTAGGGAGAGAACAACCTGTGTAAAAGTTCTGAGACGGGAGAGCCTGGAATATTTGAGGAACAACAAGGAGGCCAGTGTGGCTTGAGCAGAGCGAGTGAGGGCAGTGGGGAAAGGTGGGTCTCGTAGGTCATGGTGGGGATTTGTTTCTGTTCGTTTTTTCATTGTTTGCAATAAGAAATATGGACCACCTCAGATTTGCCTCCCACCTGGCAACCAACGTTTATCACCATAAGCCCCCAGCTAAAGCCCCTCCATTCTCCCTCCTCTACCTCAACACTCACCTCTCTCCCTGGATGCCCCCAGGCTAACAGAACCCTCATCCCTGGATACCTCTGGGGCTCCCGTAGGAAGATCCAAACCCCAGGGGGTGCCCTGTGCCCTGGACATCCTCCTTCCTGGGACCCACTGGGCCTGTGCATCTCCCTGGGCTCCCCTGGCCGGGTGGGGCTGGGGGACAGTGAGTAGATCCAGCTGCGAAGCATATCCATCTGTCCCCCACAGGGCCTGGGGGTGCGAGTCTTAAACCTGCTCTTTGGGGCCCTGGCCATCTTCCACCTGGCCTACCTGGGCTCCCTGTTTGATGTCGATGTGGATGACACCACAGAGGAGCAGGTGAGGTGGGGCCCTGGGCTGGAGGTTACTTAGGGACGTGCTACCCACTCATGGGAACCATGAGAGCAAAGGTGAAGAGGCTGAGGCATTGAGGACCTCATGTCATGTGTCTGTCTAGCACTTGCAAAGCTAGTGCTCCTGGATCCTCCTTTCTCAGGGTCCTTCTGCTGGACTCATCCTGTTGGGGCTCTTATCAGGGCAAGGCATGCAAACTATGTTTAGTTTACTTATAAAATTTATTTTATAGAGATGAAGAGCAAAATCCCAGTTTTTTTTAACATTTTGTTTATTTATTTGTGTGTGTGTGTGTGTGTGTGTGTGTGAGAGAGAGAGAGAGAGAGAAACAGGGGCAGAGGGAGAGGGAGAAGCAGGCTCCCTGGCAAGCAAGGAGCCCAACGCAAGGGCTCAATCCCAGGACCCCAGGATCATGACCTGAGCTGAAGGTAGCCTCTTAACCAACTGAGCCGCCCAGGCACCCCCAGGTTTTACCCTTCAAAAAATTAATTATTTCATCATATTTTTGTTTCAGTAGAATGCACAAGGTTTCTTTCTTATTTAATTAAGAAATATTTTTACTCAGGTTGAATGTGCAAACTCTGGATTCTGCTTTAAAAATGTACATTAAAATGTGCTATTTTTATTCATGTGGAGTGTGCACCTTCCAGATTTTACTCCCTTTTTAAATGAAAGATGATTTTAAAAATACCGTTTCTTCACATGGCTCTTGCAGGATCCAGGTTTTGCTTCTCTTTTAGTTGCATTTTTTTTATTTTTAATTGCAAATAAAACTTTTATTTTCTATTTTGTTATTAAAAACAATTTTTAATCTTCATTCAGGTTGAGTGTGCAAAACCGGGGTTTTAATTTTTACTAAAACATTTAAAAATAGTTAATGCATAAATCACAAGGTTCAAAAACAAAACAGTATTCAAGATGTTCAGGGAAAAGTCTTGCTCCTACTGTCTCCTTCCTCCCCTCTTACAGGTAACTATTTTTATTCACTTCATTAAAATGTCCCGCTAAAATATAAGCACAACAGTAGATTTATATTTTGATTCCCTCCCCCACCCCAGGTTTTACCCTAAAAGGACTCATGAATGATACCATTCTGCATGTCACTGTTTTCACGTAATCATTCTTGAAAATCTTCCGCATAAGTACATGGAATGTCCTCATTCATTTGTTTTCCATTGCGAGGGTATGACGATATGACACAGTGTAGTTGGTCCCTCATCAGTGAACACCTAGGTGATTTCCAGCCCTTTCCTATTGCAAATGGTGCTACAGCCAAGTACTACTACCCTCGTACCCATATGGATTCACACAGGTGCAGACAGAACTCTAGGATCTAGCCTTGAGAGTTAGAATGAAGAAGTTACTTTTTTGCCTCCCCCCAGCAGTGTGTGACCATACCCATCGCCCGACCAACAGAGTGCCTCTCAGACTTCCTGGATAGGTTTGCCGGTTTGAGAGGAGGAAGATTATGAGTGAGGCTGAGTATCTTTTCATATATTTAAGAACCACTGGGATTTTTCCTTTGTGAGAATGGCATACTCCCTTCCTTTACCAGGTTTTTTTTTTTTTCTTTTTGAAAAATTGATTTCTAGGAGCTCCTTCTGTATTAGGGAGAGTACAAGTCAGAGGACGGAATTGCCTTGTTTTGTTTTTAAAATGATATTTAAAGAAGAAAACATGAAAAAAAAATAACACCTGATTCTGCTTATCTTTTACATGTACCAGTCTCTTCTCTGGGGCCTCGCTTAGTAGGTTAGCATGGAGTCACAGAAATGTCCTTGAACAAAGGATGGGTTTTCCTGAGACCTTTTTTTGTTCTTGCCGAGTGGGACTGTCACCTCTTTCTCTCCCACAGGGCTACGGCATGGCATACACTGTCCACAAGTGGTCAGAGCTCAGCTGGGCCAGTCACTGGGTCACTTTTGGATGTTGGATCTTCTATCGTCTCATAGGCTGAGGCACATCTGTGGACCCTCATAGCTCCCTCAAGACCCCTCCTCAGGGTGCCAGCTCTGATGTGGGATGAGGGAAGGCCCTATCTCTAATTCTTGACCCCTCTCCATCCTTGACCCCCCCCGACACCCTTACACACACACACACACACACACAATTTCCATGCCTGTTGATCCCCACTCCACCACAAGGCGGGAAGGGGGTGGTCCCTGCTGGGGCCTAGGGGCGGAGGATGCTTGGGGAAACAGAGAGGGTGAGATCCAGGGCCTCCCCCGCCTTCCTTCTCCCTTTTTATATACAGTTTGTTATTGTCAAATAAAAATAGGAAAGATACAAAAGGCTCTTTCTTCACTGCTCAGTGGGGAATAGAATTGAGTGAGGAATGGGCACAGCATGGCTTAAAGGTTTGGAAGCTGGAAATCATGAAGAGGGAACAGGTTGTGGTTGGTTCATGGTTAATTTATTATCGTTCAGGGCTGGATGATGAGCTCGTGGACTGCACAACTTGATTTGAGTGGAGCCAGGACAAACTGGATAGTTGGATGTGTGTGTGGTGGGGGGGACCTGATACTAGCTGGTTGGAAAACTGGTTTTCTGATCCATTATTTTGACTAGGGCAGAGGGGGGGAAAGCAAGACAGATGAAGAGTTCATGCTTTATTGGTCCTTAGAACTGAAGCTTGTGGGTTCTAATTGGATAGGAAGGTGTGGGATAGGTCGGGGTTCTGATTGATTGAACGGCCTGGGGTGCCTGCTGGCTTAGAGTCACGGAGTTTGGATTGGCCCTTTCGAGTTGGCACAGGGAGACTAAGGGTCTCCGTGCCAATTGGCCAGCAGCGCTGGGGAGCCCGGGTTTTGACTAGTTCTGACTTAAGTCGGGAGAAGTGGAGATGACGGTTGAGGAGTTCTGAGCGCCCAGGGAGAGGGCAGAGGCACAACGTACAATATGTGATCTGCTGTCGTATTAAGTTTCCTCGCCGGTTCGGGCATTAGGATTGGGAACTCATTGATTGATGTCCCTAAAAAACGAGGGCAAAGGTGAGAGAACACAGAGCAATGCTGACTCAACAGCAGATAAGGATAAAACACCCAGTTTCCGATACGACTGACAACGGGCTAGGGAAATTGAAGCTAGGACTCCCTGCGGACGGGGTTCAGCCCCAAAACGCCCACGAACCTTGGCGGGTCCCAGCCTTCCCGCAACTCCTGACTGGGGCTCAACCAACAGCGAAAATGGCACCACGCATGGGGGCGGGGCCGGCGGCACACAGAGAGCTCCTATTGGTTAGGGGCGGGGCTGGCCGCCTTCGCAGCCCCTCCATTGGCCAGCTCCGTAAAGTGAGGAACCTGTGAGGGGACAAGTCGGAACGAAGGATTTTTACGCAGCCAGCGAGCTAGTCTAGAGAGACCCCGGAGTCTGTGAGCAAGGCCGCCGAGACCACGCCGCTGGGTGAGTTTCCTCCGCCCAACCTGCCACTCCATCCCCTAGCTCTCAGCTGCTAAACAGCCGGCCCTCGACGCTCGCGCTAGACCCTTCCTCCCTTCCTCTCCCCCCACCACCCCCAGCCCGGGCCCCACGCACGGACACCCACCGCCCACCCTACGCACCTGCGCGGTTGCCGGGACGGCAGAAGATCTGCCTTCTCATTGGGCAGCTAGACCAGAGGCTTCTATTTCTAATTGGTGGTCTGTGTATTTCACCCTCGTTTTCCTGTTTAGAACTGCGCCCAAGACCCCTGCCTTCCGCTTTCCTCTTTCTCTTGCAGGTTAGTGGCGTTATGCACGATTTCAGGAAGGGTCTGGCTTTGCACACACTGAACCTGACGGTTGTAGTTCCGATTAGTTTTCTCTCTTCTGTCCTGCGGATTCCAGGGCTGCGGGAGAGGGAATAGCTTCCTATTGAAAGTTGCTAGACCCTGACCCTTCCAGTGGAATCCAGCCTGGTCGCTGTGTCTCCCTCAGCCAACTATGACCCCTGAGGAAGGGACCACACCCGGCCCTTGTGTGTCCCCTATCAGGGCGTGACCAGTGAGAGCTGGGACCTAGTCTGTTTTTTGTGTCTGCCCACCAGACTGTGACCAATGAGGGCTAGAACCTGGCCCGGTTCCTGTGTCTTTCACGTCATGGGACTCTCTTGGAGGACTGGAACAGCCTTATAGTTGGGATTTTAAAACAGCATATAATTAGGCTATTTTTAATCCAGCCTATTAACTGATAATTTTAGTCCATTTACACTCCTTGTGATAATAAATTATTTGGATTTGATTTTATGATCTCATTCTGTGCTTTCTGTTTGCTCAGGTTTTTCTCTTTTTTTTTTCTCCTTTCTACTTGCCCACATACAGCCATCAGCCTACAAAGACATGACCACCAACGCCAGCCCCATGCACCCATACTGGCCTCGGCACCTGAGGCTGGACAACTTTGTGCCTAATGACTGCCCCACTTGGCATCTGCTGGCGGGCCTCTTCTCCATCTCTGGGGTCTTGGTTGTGACCACATGGCTGTTGTCAGGTCGTGCTGCGGTCGTCCCCCTGGGGACTTGGCGGCGACTATCCCTGTGCTGGTTTGCAGTGTGTGGGTTCATTCACATGGTGATTGAGGGCTGGTTCAGCCTCTACCACGAAGACCTTCTTGGAGACCAAGCTTTCTTGTCCCAACTCTGTGAGTCCTGAGTTCTTTGAGGGCTGTGGGAGGGAATTTTCTGGGCAGGGATTGGCTTAGATATTTATCCACCCACCAACTCTAACATTAATTTATTTTAAAAATGTATTCAACTTTTTTGTTGAATATTTGTTCCTATGGGTCAAAAAAAAAAACATTTAAAGAGGTGTGCAGTGAAAATCTACCTTCTGTCCACCAAGTTTCTGTAATTATTAACCAATGTTAATAATTGTGTATGCTTTTTTCCAGGGCTTGCTTACACAAAATTATACAGATAAGCCTCAGTTTGCTATTTGTAAAAGAGGGATGGTAATACCCAAAAATATGTAAGTCACTTAGAACAGTGTTAGCAGGGGTGCCTGGGTGGCACAGTCAGTTAAGCATCTGGCTCTTGCTTTCAGCTCAGGTCATGAGATTGAGCCATGTGTCAGGCTCTGAGCTCAGCATAGAGTCCATTTGAGATTCCCTCTCCCTCTCCCTCTGCCCCTCCTGCTCCTGCACACACGCTCTCTCTTTCAGATAAATAAATAAATCTTGAAAAAAGATTTTAAGAACTCTCTTGGCAGACAGCAGATGCCATAACTGTCCTTCAACATCATCATCATCGCTTTTTTTTCCCTTCTGTGCAAATGGTAATATGGTATATACACCTCTGAACTTCTCTTTTTTTCAATGTGGTCACTCCTCATCAGTTCATAAAAAGCTTTCAAAGCATGGATGTTACAGAATTATTTGACTTGGCAAGTATTTTAGGGTATTTCCCTCCAATCTTTTTTTTTAATCTTTTTTTATTTATTTGAGGGGCGCCTGGGTGGCTCAGTGGGTTAAGCCTCTGCCTTCGGCTCAGGTCGTGGTCTCGGGGTCCTGGGATCGAGCCCCACAATGGGCTCTCTGCTCAGCGGGGAGCCTGCTTCCCCCCCCCCCCGCCTGCCTCTCTGC